CCTGCCTGGGGTCCAGGAGGACCAGTTGTGCACATTCCTGTGCTCTGAGGCTGACTCAGAACCAACAGGACAATGGTGAGACCCTTTCAGGGGAGGCCCAGGTGACTGTTCCCTGGGGGTAGCCCTCGGTCACATGTGAGTGAGAGTTACCCTGCCTTTGGGGTGGGTGTGCTGCTGAGACAGATAAAGAGGAGTCTCTCTCACTCATCCCCTTGGGCCTATAAAGCTTTAGGGTTTGATCATCAACTGACAAACCAATAGAGGGAACTCATTTTAGCTGACAAATTTGGGGCCTACCTCTCACAATGATTTTGAGGAGGTTCACAGTCTACAGTCTAATAAATAACTGATCAATTGAAATAAAACTGCCATTACAAAGAAGGCGGCAGATGCTATGCGCAGACTCACACTCACATGATAAACACAGTACCCAGGGTGTTCCAGGCAGTGTCTAGCCTAAGGGTGTAGTACCTGAAGCAGTAGCTTCAGCCTGAGCTGGAAACTTAGATTCTAAGTTAGTAGGCCCACCCAGACCTCCTGAATTAGGAACTCTGAGGGTGGGGCCCAGCAATCTGTATTTTAACAAACTCCCCAGGTGTTTGCTGCACACTCAAGTTTGAGAAGCACTGGTCTGGGGACTGAGTGTATCACGGGGAAAAGATATCAAAGACCCTGCTGTCCTCAAGGAGGTGCCACATACACTGGGACATACATTCCAGTATGGGAAAGGGGGAGACAACATACCAATAAGTAAACGATTTGTGAACATGATAATTTTAGACAGTGGTAAGTTCTCTGAGGGATGTAAAGGACAGTGATGGGGGACTGATTTAGAAGAGGTGGTAACGGGGGAGGTGGTTAGCACTGAAATAATAACGACAGAACGGCGCCAGCCATGCAAAGAATCTAGGGGCAGAAAATAAACACACAGGTTCTGGGCAGGGAGCAGAGCAAGTGCAAAGGCCCTGAGGTTGGACCAAGAGTGGCTCAAAGGAGGAAAAGGTGAGGGGAACACAGTGAGTAAGGAGTATGTAGGGTGTGGACTGGGAGAGGCAATTGGTGGTAGTGGGCTTAGCTTTTGCTCTTGGTGCAAGGGAAAGGCACTGGACAGTCTTCAGTAAATAGGGACAGGATCTGATTGACCTTTTAGCAAAATCCTTCTGAAATGAATTGTAGAAGATAAGGGTAGAAGTAGGAAGGCCAATGAGGAGGACGTCAGGATAATCCAGACGAGAAAGATTGGTGCTTGCATGGAATGCACAAAGACCTCTTATTAAATGAGAAACAATGATGCAGAACCCTGTGCACAGTCAGTCATTTTAAAGCAGGTGCACATTAGGAGTTCAAAGACATTTGTGCCCCGGAAAGGATCCACACGTACAAAGTCAAAGGTGGTTATCTTTGGGGAAAAGAGGGTTAAGAGGATCATTTTATACCTTTTCCATAGTGTGCAATTTTATTATGCCTGTATTCTTTTTTACTTAATGAAAATGTTTTAAAATAAAAATTTCCAAATTGGGATTGAGGAAAACATAAAATAATATAGGTAGTGCGTGATCAGTGCCAGAGAGGAAACCCACCTCCCTTGGGTATGTCCCTACCTACGCGTCCTCCCCTGACATTGCTGGAGAGCCGTGCTGACAACCGGGAGCCAGCTCAGACTCTTGGGCTTCCGTGGGATCAGGGTGCGACACTGGACCCAGTTTCTGTCCTGCCGCTCTGGTGATGCTTGGGGCCGACTGGTCTGGAGCAACTAATACAATTTCCTGTGAGCGTCTGCTGCATTTCCCAATGCCCTCCGTCATCTTGGCAGCCAGTGCACTGTGAGGCCAGGGTGCCCTTTATTTAACTGCCTGATTGGGCATAAACAGAAGGAAATGCTTTGCTGGGGGGAGAGAGAGGCTCGCAGCATCTGATTTCTCCTGTCAGCTGATTAGGATTTGTTGTGCCAGAACAAGGTCAAATGAGATTAGAAAGAAAATGCAGTGTGTGCCTGGTGTGCATGTCACATAGCTCTATCATTTATGTAAACAGGATGGATGAAGGGGAAATTTCAAAGCAAACATTGAATGTCAGTCTCAAGATTCAAGGACAAGATGCCAGGGTTTATGTTCTGCCTGGAGAGGAAGAAAATGTATTAGTCGGGGGCATTTTTGAACCCTGCTGAGTCCATCATGCTGGTGCCAAAAAAAAAAGTGATAATTTTATGTCTGATTTTCAAAGGCACTGAGTGCAGAATAAGGAAAACCACGGAAATACCACATTCTACCTTTACTGTCCCTCTAAAGCTCTTATAAGAGGTTTAGATCCAGTTTCTATAAGAGTAGCTGCCTAAGGGCTCTCTATCGAGTTGATTTCTTAGGATGTGGAAGGAAAAAATCTCACCTCCAGCACCACCCACGACACTGTAGATGCAGATGACTTTGGGCAAGCTGGCATCTCTGTGGATAAAGCTGCCAGAACCTTTGCTGGCCTGCCCAAGCTGTCATCTTCTCCCTTCCTCAGAGGACCCCTCTGCAATGAGCAGGCTCTCAGAGAAGGCTCCATCACAGCAGAAATGGCTTTTCAAGTGCTGTGCGAGATTTAAGGGAAGACAGGATTTTTGTTCCACACTCTGCATAGGATCTAGCATATTGCGGATGTTTAATAAGCAGCTTCAACAGCTATTATTTCCACTGACTATTTCCTGGCACGGAGTTGGAAGGCTATTCTGAGCCAGACTTTGGTCCCTCCCACTCTAAATAACAGTGAGGCCAAAAAGCATTCACATGATCATGCCTTAGGACTCAAAAAAAATCTCAATGTATATTTAAAAGATAAATACAGATACATGACCAAGAAGTTGAGATAAAGATAGAAGTTAAGGGATGTGAAAATGAAATTTAAAAAAACTTTTAACACTAGTGGGAATTATATTACAAGAAATATCCTAAAGTACTGAGGGTTCATTATTTCCCCGTATTTGGACAGTAACATTACCAAACCCCTAATAGTAGAGAGAGGAGTACATGTCAGTAGCTAGGGATTGTATTTGCCTAAGAGGAACGAGTGTGTGTGTCTATCATGTTTCACAAATAAATATGATGAAGAAATAAAATAATGACCAGGATTTGCATTCTCAGTGGTTATAGTGTTTAAACAAACCTGGACACATCTGATTGCCATGATCATCCTATGAGTTTGCAGGGAAGATGCGAAGAGGAAAATCTCATTCATGTCCTTAGGAAGGAATCTGAAGCCCCAAGGAGCTGAGTTGCCCAGGAAGGGCCAAGAACACAGCGTGAGCAGGTTAAAGGGCGCTAACCTGAAGCAGGGGGAGCTGGTGTCAGGCACAGTGGAGACTCTAACTAGGGGTGCAACCAGGGTGAGACTCTGAGTCTGCATCTCTGTCCCCAGGTCTTTTAGGGTGTTTTCTGACTTGCAAGTCTATCATTCCATGTAGTTAAAACAAGTTAACATGCATGTCATAAATAGCATAATAATTCTCTAATGTTTATAAGACTATTCTCTGAAATCTTTTTATCATTTTACCATTGAGAAGCCTTTTGGGGATCTTGCAAATAAGAAAGATCATTGTGTTTTAAGGCAAATTATCAGTATCCTTTGAATGTGGGGAAGTGGCAGTTCATGAAGCTTCCAGTCAACAGGGTCTGGAGAAATCAGCCCTCTCCATCCCTTCAGCTCCCTTCTGGGAGCTGCAGCTCATCCGGGACAGCAGGTGTGTGGGGTTGGAGCCTCTAGTTCTGTTATAGGAGATGAGCTCGTCCAGGGCTCGTCCCTTCAGAAGGCACTTAAATGGCTTCTCCGGGGTGCTCTGTGAGGAGTGTGGAGAGCACACTTCACCTCCACCTGCCCCATACCCGAGCAACTGCCCAGGGAGGGAGAGAGCGCGTTTCCAGTTCTGACAGGTCAGCCTGTCTCTGTATGAATCATCGGTGGGCAGACTTGAGTGCATGTGTATACACACACACATAAGCACACGCACTCCTGCCTCCAGCCACATGCCTGCATAAGAGGAGGGCGTCTTCACCAATTATAGGAAAATATTAATCACGTTTCCATTTGCTCTCTTCAAAGATACCTATTGATCCATAACCCTTCAGTCTACCCTCACTCCCCACATTCTAGCAGAAGAGTTATTTGTACAGACTGCTTCTTCCCTTCCCTACCCAAACCCCGCCAGTGGCATTAAAGGCAATGTCCATGGCCCATCGGAGAAATCCCTACCCCTGAAGCTGGGCTCGTCTGAGGATTGACCTAGTCCAATAGAGATAGGCTTAAGTGGTAGTGAGGAATGACATAAATATTCTCTCTGCGGCTCCTTCCCCCTCCCAACCTGGATGGCCATTGCCTTGACTGGCTTTGCAAAATGCCACTTGTAGGGCTTGGCTCTGGGAGGGGCATAGACAGACAGACAGACACACATACACACT